ATATATATATATATATATATATATATATATACACACACATACAGAAATGTGTGTCTTAGTGTGTATAGCTACTGACAATATTTGTTTTTGTGGATGTTTGACATTTTCTAACGGTGATTTTTCTCCAGCCTTTATGCTAGAAACTATATCTTGGTAATGAGAGGAAATGCTTACTTGAACACAGGAACTTGTAGCAATAAGAGATTTAGGTTTGTAAAAATGCAGAATGGGACATATATAAAATAAATTTCACATAAGTGTTATTCAAGGATAAATGAAGGGTTAATCCACAGACTTAATGGTGGGAGGGGGGTCCATCATGTTTTAAAGAGAGAAAAAATATTGTATTACACTGTTATAAGACTTAAATGTGGTACTAAGTATGGAGGGATTTTTATTATTTCTATTGTTGATTTTTTGTGTACATTAGTGTTATTTTTTTTTTAATATACTGATATAAAATTAAAAAGTAGAAGGAGAATTTCAGTTAGAGTAAAAGGTTATCCTGTTTCCTTGGAGATATATAGAGAGACCAATAATTATCTTTTAACAACTATAGGAAATTATTTTATTTTTGGGGTGAAATGACAAATGTTTACAATAAGTTTGTTCATACTATGGTGCAGTAGTTAAAAAGAAACAGTTTTCAGATTGTAAGAGGCAGCAACTTGTAAGCACAATATGGATTTTTAAACCATTACCTTGTTTTCATATGTGTGTATCACCCTGTTGTTTACTAAGTAAGAAATCTTGCATTTCTACAGGTCCTTGTGATCTTACACCAAACATTTTTGATCATGTACTTGATGGCTTGAAAGTTAGATTGAACAGTGCAATTAGAGATTATAATATCACTTACTAAAAGATAAATACTTTTTAATCTTTATCTGATTACCATAAAAATTTATATTTGTATACATGTGTGTCAATAGTTGTTTCATCATTAATTACTCAATTTACAGATTTAAAAAAAATATTCATTTTGGTCCCTAGTCTTGGTGCTGTTTCTGAAGCCGAGTCCTAAATAGTGTAATTTTATGTAATTTGATATACTTAAATTTCTACTTATAAAGTTCAGTTGCCGAAACATATCTAGTAGCAGTCTAATTGTTGTGTAAGAAATGCCAACTATTTTTTAATGCTAAAAAAAACTTACTTGTAAATTATGTCGCTTAGAAATTTTAATAATTGCCTAGATTTCTTAACACTTTTTTTTTCATTGTTGCAAATATAAAAAAACTATCAAAATTACATTAATGTAGCTGATTTCAAGCAATTTTTGATGTTGAAAAGATTTATCACCATTATTTCTGTTGCAGTTTTTCTAAGAAACTGTTAGTTTTTCATTTTATGTGATGGTTTATAAATTTACACTGATTACTTTTTAATGTTAGTAAGTAACAGTATGAATTATGATTGCATTTTTCAAATTATCACAGGTTAAACTGTAACTTAATAAAATTGCTAAGTAAATTAATTTTACCAAATCAAAATGTTTAGAAATTTTTGTAAATTTAAATGCTACATTTATTGTCAACAATTACAATAAGCTTATTTTGAGAAGCAAAGGATTTTGTATGCATGAATGTGTGTTTTCTCTGAGGGCACTATGTGTGTGTGTGTATCTATATATATTGTGATTTCAGAGTAAAACAGATATTCATTCATACAGAATATTTCATTTTTTCATAGTTATAGTTTACATTTGTGAAATTACATCTCACATTTTTTAGTGTTTACTTAGAGTTCTTCTTAGTTTGGTAGTAAGAATTATCTTCTTTCAATGCATTAGTTTGTACAAAATGATGTGCATCTGTTTTTTTGGTGTGAATCCTTAGTACATCATTTTTTTTATTTCTAATTGAATCTTTTAAAAATCTAAATTCATGACTTGTAAACCAAGAATATGTTGAGATACAGAAATGCAACTTTTCATGCATGTATTTTTTTCTACCACATTTTTGTCCCATTAGAGGGAAGGAAAGATAAAGTTAACTGTTAAAAGTAAATCAAATTACATTAGGCTATTTATGATTCTATAACAAGAGTTGTATTTCAAAGTGATGTCCCTGTGTATCAGAAAGAATAATGTAAAGCTGAAATTCTTAAATTAACACATTATTCAGAATTATAAAACTAGATAGTGAGATTCAAATAACATAGTTAAAAATACATAAAACAGAATGGCCTAGGACATCCTTAAGAGTAACAGTCCTATATCAGCAACTAATGTACAAAATTTGTACATTATCTACGATTTCTATACAAGCCATCAAATTTTTGGCATGTTATATTTATGTTTAAAAATAATTCATGTCACCAGAAGCAGTTTGTATGTTTAAGTTATGTATCTTGCAAACAAAATTCCCAGTATTTCAATTTTTTCTCCCCCTAGTCTCATATTAATATTTTTGTAGAAAATTAGCTTACAAAGTCCCTCCCAAAAACATTCCTCTAAATATGGCACAGACAACTTACAAAATTTATCGTAAGCATAGGATCAACACAAAATTGATAGAAAACTTTTCAGTTTGTTTTAAATCAGTTGTATTATTTTGTAAATTTGTTTTAAGCAGTCGGCAAAGAAAGTACAAGTTTAAATTTATCAACAAACTGATTTCACTGTCGTATTTTAATTGTAAATTTTTCTCTAAGTTTAACTCTAAACTGAACTTTATTTAGTACACTACAGTATTGTAAATGTACAAAATATCATGTTGCTACAGTTGTATATAACTAATGCTTTCCTCTCATACATCATAAGTAGTAGTCAGTTAAATCAGCATTACTGTTGTCTTGTCTAGGAAGAGTATTCAAATCATGTAATACCACAAGACTGACATAGATTTCAATATCCTATGTTATTATTTGAAGTATGAATTAACAAAACAAAAATATAGTATTTTTTCTGTTATTGTTAACACAATTTATCAAGTTTCTAAAGATGACAATAAAAATATTACATCTTTCTGCAATTTTTAATCAAAGTTAAATAGGGATTTTAATGGTGTTTTGTTTGTAAGAATAAAATACAGTGATTGATGTTCCCAATAATGGTGTGCATGTAATTATGTAGGAGAGATTTAAGGCATTTATAGTAAAAATGTACAATAATGTTATTCTGAAATGTAAAAACTTAATATCTTTCAAAACCTATTTATTCCTAACATTGTAATAATTTTAAATATTATAATAGTAAATTAACCTACAACAATTTATAAGAATAATGATAATTTTATGTCGAAAACACGTTGTGACAGAATATTGGTTTGTCTTCTCCAAGTATGAGATACAACTAAGCATACAAGGTTTATATAAAAAAAAATCAGTATATATAAAGACAAAAGATACCAGGGTTTATAACAGTGGTTCCCAACCTTTTTCACTGCTGGCACCCCTTGAGATTTTGAAATGCTATCCCGCACCCCAGAGTTAAAAGCAAAAAATGATTTTTTTTCAGGTCAAATTATTAAGTACTAATTAATGAGTATTTTAAATTAACACAAATTTTCGAAAAGAAAAAAAACACTTATTTTGCCAGAAAAGAAAACACATTATTATGAGTCAGAAAAATTTATATATATGTATCCGTGTGTGTGGTGAATGCGTATTGCTGTGGCAACTTCTGGAAATAGTGACTCATGTTCTTCAACAATTTCTTCCAGCAATGGAAACCTAGCCAAATTTCCCTTCTCAATATTTCTCAACCACAAAGGAATTTTAGCTTTAAAGGAAGCCAATTTTTCATGTGCAATAACCACATTTTTATTACTTCCTTGGAGGGAAATATTTAATTCATTTAAGTGAGTAGTTATGTCGGTCACGTATGCTAGCATTTGCACAAGCTCTGGGGAATCAAATGAAGAAAAGAGATCAAACTTTTGATCCTTTAAAAATGTCTTGATCTCCTCACAAAGCTCAAATATACACTGCAAGACACGTCCACGGGATAGCCATGTGTTCAGAATCCATGCTTTCACAAAATGCTTGAAATAAATGATAGTTCAGTGAACGTCCTCTAATTACGTTAACAATTTTCACACATGTTGATAAAACGTCTTGCAGACTTCTTGGTAAAGTCTTCGCTGCTAATGCATACTAATGAAGCAGGCAGTGTGTGACACGGACCACAGGAATTTCCCGTTTCATGAAGGCTGCAAATCCAGACCAATTTCCTAGCATAGCAGGAGTACATATGGAACCAATGATGTTCATATCCAATCCATATTTTAAGAAAAATTCTTTTATGAGGTCGAACACGTTCTGGCCTTTTGTGGTGGTCTTTAGTGGTTCACAAAATAGAATGTGTTCTAATACTTCTTCATTCTTGACATAACGAACAAGAGCAATCAGTTAGCTACAATGGGAAACATCTGTAGATTCATCCAATTACAATGATATTTTTACAGGAGTCGCTTGATATCAGTAATCACCTGTTCCAAGATGTCCTCGCTCATACCAATTATTCTGTTCCTGATGACATTGTTAGACATTGATACTTGTTCCACCTTCCTTTCTGCATCTTTCCCCAAATACATGGCTTCACTAACTCTTCAGCGATGGTATAAGGTTTTTTGCGTTGGTCACCTGATACGCAACTTGATAGGATGCTTCAAGAACAGGTTTTTCAGGTGGTACATATCCTAACTTTGGCAGAGTTCCTAGATGATCAAAACATGCCTTCTTCACCTTCAGTGATTCTTCATCGTGCTTCTCTACCACCACGTACTCTGTTGAAATGTTTGTTGAGTTTGGAAGGTTTCAAATTTGCATTAGAAAATATCACTGAACATAAAAAACACTGAGATCTTTCTGTCCCATTTCTCTCAGTTGTACATATGAACCCAAAACGATAGTAATCATTGTTCCACTTTCTTTTCTTCGCCATTATGGATCTTTGAAAATAAAAAAATTATCATGAGATGTAAATAGTAGGCGTATGTTTAATAAAAAAATTTAAAACAGGAAGAAAGAATCACAATAGTGAA